TTCATTCTTCTCTTGACAGTCCAGAAAAAAAAAAAAACAAACAAAAGAAATTACGATCCAATACGCGAAACGAGGATCTTCAAGTCGTTCCACGATTCGAAGATTTTTACCTCACCCTGGAGACTCGCTCGAGCCACCCAAAATCTAATTGCAGCGGATTACTCGAATCGTTGAAAATTTTAAATTGCAGCAAAGCGAACGGGGAAGTAGCTAACGGAATAATTTAACTAGAGACTCTCTGTTTCTCTGCCGTCAGGCTACAACGGACTTAAGGAACACCTGCACCACCGGCCACACGGGCACTTCCGCGTCCGCTCCATTAGCCGCGGGAATCCTGGCCTTAGCTCTGCAAGTGAAGTACGAGCTCGTTACCGTTACTTTTTCTCGCAGCCGATGGAACATCTGTCCCATTTAAACCGGCCACGGGCTAACAAATTTCCAAGGAGAATCGTTAAACGCATTACCGCGACCGTGCTTCAGTTTTCCATTGAGATGCAAGTAGCTTGTAGAGAAAAATCTCAAATGGATCCGTGGGATTGAACATTGGACATCCAATGTGGACCAAACATTTTATCACAGGAGCAGTGACGTAGATATCACAGTTAGCAGAAGAAAAATACTTGCTTTCTTCCCTTTATTCTCACATTCCGTGATTTATTGACACTCTGTCGATCCTTCGTTCCTCCACAATCTGCTAATTTTCTCGTTTGAATTACAAAGCCGATAAAAGCAAAAGTAACCTTTCCTTCCTGTTCTACCCTCTTTCCTTTGCCCACTTTTATCTCACTTTTTTCTATTATTTCCCGCTTTATTCTTTCCTTAATATCTTATTCTCTCTCTTTCTTCATTCTTTCAATCCGGAATTAAGAGGAAACTCGAAACCTACGCGAGCTTAATTAATTATAGTACAAGGTGCAAGTAACCTTTTGCAGATACAGGGTATCTCGACCGTTGTTTCCGCGAAGTTAAAAAGAAAACGTGCGGAACAGCGAAAGTTCCTTTCCGCGTCGGATATTTATTCACCACGAATCCCCCGTAATCTCTGTTTCATTTATGAAAACGTTGTTACCGGAAATCTGCGTGGTTGCCCGCACGCACAGAGAACGCTCGTGCAACATAAATCCGTCCGCGGGGTATTAGCATAATACAAGACTCGATTAAAAACTTATCGCTGGCCGAGAAGGAAATTTCAAACGAGCCACGTGTTCGTCCCGTCTATGAAAGTGCGAAAGTTGCGATGGCAACGAGCCGTCGTTGCTGAAAGCCGCGAAGAAAAACGCCTTGAGCAATCCCGTTGCCTTCGTGTTGCTTTAACTCCGTGTTCCAACTAGATTACAAAATATTTCATCTACGTGCGTCGCGAGACTACGTGCTTCCGTCCACATTGAAACAATTCACGTATTGTTCTTGAAGCAAAGATCTGACCTGGAGGGACGTGCAGCATCTCATCGTTTGGACCTCGGAATACAGTCCACTCAGGTATGTTTGACGACATTGTTGTTGCAACACATATTTCCATTTTATTCTCTATTCTTTACAGAGCAATGATTCTAAAGTTCGATCCAATATTACCAGAAACTGTCCATTTAATTACGCGGTTAAATATCTGTTTCTCCATCCCCTTCGTGGTTAAACATCGCTTCTCGTAATATAATACGACGCAATAATACTTGAATAAACATTTCCAATGAATCTCCTGACCGCAAAATTTTCGATTTTTAAATCTCGAGCGAATATAAATTGACGTAATTTAATTGAAGATATAAATTAATCTCTTTACAGTAAAATGAACGTCCGAACCCTAACTTTGATATAACACTTGAAAACTTCGTTCAAAAGCTGTTCGTGGCGCTCGTCATATTTCCATCTCTGCATCAGTAATCTCTCTTTAGTCATAAAACACAGGAGGATCCTCTTTTGAGGATAACAGAGATGTTATCACGCAGCAGACACTGTGACAACACGTAAAAATTTCGATTACCAAATCAGCTGCTGTACATACGTGCATAACGCACGTAGAAATTTCCTTTCATCCCTCGAAAACGCAAGTGAAGTAACAACGAGTTCAGCTGATCAGTTTCCCGAATTCCTCGTCATTTTATCGCCGCGAGATTAAAATAAATTGGGTCGCGCACCCTTCGCAGCCTTCGAGCCAATTGAAACCATTAAAATGCTAATTCCACCGCCGGCTCGCGAAACACTTTGCCAAAACACCTTGTATAATAATCGTCGTCATCAATTTTAATTAATCTCGCGAGATTCATTACGCGCGTGAAAATCCACGTTTAATTTCGCAAACATGCCGGCCGTATCACTCGGACGTATCGTGCTCGGAGATTATCCGAGAGAATATATATATATATATATATATCACCGAATTCCCGAGCCCCGATGGAAAAAGCTTTTCCCGCTAGGAATATAGGAAGCAGTCGATCTCGTTTTTTTCTCCTTCGGGGGTATCGCGAACCGTCGCCGGATTAAAGCATTGTGTCATTCTTATTCGTTCCGCGACGGCCAGGAAATGTAGGTCGACGGTGCTGTTTCGAATCGGGCAACGATAATTGCAGTGAAACGAACAGGAAGCGAAGATCATTTCTTTCTCTGTGTTGAAGATAAATAGAAATCGCGATAGGTAGCTACCAACCAGTCAGGGTCAAGATGAGCCATTACCCATTTATATTCGCGTGTAACAACGAGCTTGCAATTGAAATTACAACGGCGTAATTACATTTGCAATTAATTTCGCCGATAATTGCTCTGACTTTGCCTGAACTTTTCACTGACTTTGTTCGGCGTACTCGGTGTGTTTGTCTCTACGTGAAACAAAATGTGATTCGATTCAATGCGTACGGTAAGATGAGAACAAACAACGATGAAAACGCGCGAATGGTCTCGTAACTTCTCTGCTGGGATTTCTGTTGTGCGAAAGATATTAAATTTGCACGGGAAAGAAGGGAACAAAAACGGGGCGAGGAGAGACAGACGGAGAGGGATTGGATTTATTAAGAATTTCCAACTTCATTCATGGCGTGGAGAGTCGCGCGATAGCTCGAATTCAGTGACCTGATTGTGCGATTGTATCGGGCTTTCGACGAGACGCGACGAACAATGCTTTATCCTGCGCCGATATCGCTTAAATGAAACCGTTTGCCGCTGAAATCGATGTTTGCGAAAGTAATCGATTGTCGATCCTCGTTGCATCGCGGATTCTTGCGCAAATTCGTAATGATTAAGGAAATTGCGCAATAACTTTCAATCAGAGTTTTCTTCAGTCTCAAACTATGAATATCTCGTGCATTTCAAAGACATTGAGAAATTTGAAGATCGGATGGAATCAAAGAGAAATAGAACATTCATTAATTATTGATTAAAATAACGGTTGAACGATTGTGTTATACGCACATAACACAAGATGATTCTAACATTTCTGAAAAGTTGCTAATCATTTTTCAGATTCTTCACTTCGCAGTTATCAAATTCGTTCAACACTTATAAACTGAAATATACATATATACAGTATCATGTTAAATAGTCGAAGTGTATCTTCTAAGAATTTTAAGAAGAACTTCGAGAGGAAAGTATTCAGCAATTAATTTAGAAACGGAATTTATTAAACGAAAACTTTCCAAGAGTTGGCAAGTTAAATAAACTGCCCAGCGTTTCCCGGGAAACGCAAAATGGAGGCTTCTCGCCGCTTGTAAAAAGGGATTACACCGACCCACGCGGGAAACCGTTTCATTTTACGTTGGTCATTCTTTCTTTCGCACCGGCGAGCCTCGGTAATTGTGTAACAAAATTTCAGGGAGAATCCAGGATGGTTCAGAAATTCCGCTGGATTCTGGTTCAACTCACGTTTCGGCTACGGACTTATGAACGCGTACGCTCTAGTCTCGGCCAGTTACAATTGGACCACTGTGCCGGACAAGGCCATCTGTAAAGCAGGCGTGGCCAAAGTGTAAGTGACAAGGAGGAAATTTTACTCTTCACTCACGACGAAATTCTTTACTAATGTTATCAATTGTAGAGCTGCTAAAAAAAATTCGTATTTCCATTAGACGAGAATTCGCGAAGTCCAATTGTAGCGCGAGCGTGGATTTCATTTACAGTATATATTTGTTTGGAAATTTTGCGAAAAATTGTCAATCGATCGATATAAAAGAAGTCCTACGAAGAATTACTCGATCGATCATTAAACAATGTATAAAAGTTCTACGAATTATTAATTGACAATTTCGATCATTCTGCTGGTTCTAAAGTACTAAAAAAGAATGATTAATTGAAGTGAAGTAGAAACGAATGTTAATTTAAATTTTTCATTAAAACGTGTGAGAACGTGTTATATACACGGTTAAGGGAAGAAAGGAAATGACTAATCAGACTTATATAGAATGCAACACAGATACGCGTACCGTTAATCGATAATACGGACGTCTCTCGTTGTAGTCGAACCAACTACATGCAAATACTGCGCACGTAGGATTTACCACTCACGGTCCATTTAGATTACCATAGTTGAACATGATTCTGTACGCTGCTTTAAACACCGTTAACTCTGAATACTGAAACAAGCTTTCGAGCTTTCGAACTTGAAACTTTCGCCCGCCATTTCGCCAGCTATCGAATGGGTCACACTTGCGTCTCAATTTCCACTTTCTATTAACCTAATCCAGGACTTCCTCGATCGTAAACTTCCACGATCGTAGATATCACACACACAGTTGATAGATATCAAAATTCATATCCGTCCTCGGATTCAATTTCGTTTCAATCCGATTTCAAGTTAAATCAGAAAATTGAGGATCCATGATAAATAAGAAAACTGTTATGGCCAACGAACACGAGCAAAGAATTCTAGATTCTTATCATTCGTCGATTATAATTTCATCCTTTATCCTTTAATTTAACTTCAACTTGACTTTAAACTAAATTAAATTGCAAAGTGAAGAGATCCGAGTTATCCAGTCTCGTGCATACAGTTTATTTGTAATCTTTATTCAGTAGAAGAATATTAAAGGTTGCTCGTTTCCTTGGGCGATCCAGACACAGGGCCGTCTCCGCGAAGAACAGAAAAGAACAGAGACGCGAGAGCAGAAGGTACATTGTACCTTCGCTTTCTTGCAGTCACCGCTTCAGGTGATGTGGCCAGGTTGTGTCCCCTGCTCCTTTAAAAAGCGCAGCGAAGCTCCGCTGACTTTTTACGTCGTTAAACTCGACATGCCGGAGAGTGCTCTTCAGTCATTCGTTAGAGGGAACGCGCAGTCAAAAAAAAAAAAAAAGTGGAACGTCTCGAGGACTTTTCGTACGTTGCTCGCACGTCTATGGTTCTACCGTTTTCTCCAGATAAAAAGCAACTCCGCTTTCTTCTCGGTGAGCTAAACATGCCCTGACGCCTCGCGCCGGAAAGTACAGCCGAGTTCCCCGCCAATGTGAAGGTTTCCACGTCACCGCGTTTCTCGTCGAAAAGCGTTCCACTGAAATTCCAGTGTCAACAACTCTCTCTTCGACCATCAATTGAAATTGAAAACATTATACGAAATGGACAATTGTCCGGAATATCATTCTCTTCTGTTGAACAAAAATATTCTGGAGAATAAAATTTTTCAAATAAACAACGCCCGAAATTCGGAAGAAATTCGACCATAATTTTGTCTCCCCTGTCACTGAACAATTTCCATTGTCGTTGGAAAACATTTCTACCAAGATTTCTCACAGATTTGTCAAACAACATTTCCTCACTGAAAAAAAAAATATTCGAAGTCGTCGTTTCATTATATAATTGATATCTAACGCAATTATCAAATGACATTTAAAACGTATTTATGACTGGCCAACGAAACGGGACATGTCTCGGTCTTGACAATCAATATCCCAGGAAGTTTCAACCAGCTCTATTGACAAGACACGGCTGCGAGCGGAAGCGGCCCGCAATTTACATACACGTGTGTATATAAGAAAATGTTCCGTTCCGGCTTAGAATCGACAAGAAGCTGGCTTATGGAAACACCAGGCGGCTGCGATTCGAGACGGAGGACGAGTGTCGATCAGCGGGCAACGAGATTACGTTTTTGGAACACGTGGAGATCGAGGTCACCCTCGAGTACAGCCTTCGCGGCGCACTTCAAATGCATCTGACTGCACCCTCAGGTACGCATTCTTTATTCACGTAAGCTCAACCTGCCTCGAAGATCTCGCCTGAGACTCGAGGACGAAAGGATTTCCCTTTCCTTTCCACAGATACGCGTAAGCATTGACACAAACATTTGCCTCGGAATTGGGAAAATTGAGAATCTATAAAATTCGTAATTTTGTACTAACCACGATGAATTGAAAGTAAGACGTATCGTAAGAATTTTGAGTAAAAGTGTTCTAGTTATGAGTTGTCGATTAATTGTAATGAATGCTTGTGGAAAAATCGGAAAAAAAATATGGAATTCTCAAATATGTAACGAACTGAATTTCCCTATTAGTCGCCTTTTACGACACGCAGGGATTACGGCGAGTCCATTCTACCCCCGAGCTCACAGGGGGAAGAATACGAAAGGATTTGTTTGAGAAAATACTTCGATATTTTTACGTCTATCAAAAGGACAATTTTCTTATATTTCTAAATACCCTACGTAAACTTTAAAAATCATTATACAAAATCTAGTTTCCATATTACCATTTTATAACTTATTATAACATATTATAAATCTTCAAATTATAACTTATTATAATTTGTTAATTATATTTATACATTATAACTTATTATAACATATTATAAATCAAGATTTATAATATTAACATATTATAAATCTTCATTAAATTCGGGATTTTTATGCACCCGTGGGAAAGTATATAAACAAAACAAAAACACTATGGAAATTACTGTACGTAATACCTAATACGCAGAAGTATATAACAGTAATCTGATTTATCACAATTTCGATATCATATATGAAAATTAATTTCTTTCTTCTGTTTTCTTTTTTTTTTTTTTTTTGCTTCGAAAATTTCCAGGCGCACGAAACACAGAGAAAATCGAGAAGCGGGTCAATTAACGCGAATAAATTTCATTCCTCGGAAAAACAAGCAGCGGAAATGCCATGCACCGGAGGAAATCACGTAGCTCTCTGTTCCCGTTTGCCGACCGAAATTACGTTGCGTCGAACTTCGTTGTTTTACCGAATATTCGCCGGACCCACACGCGAGAATGAGGCTATTAATATAATAGAAATGCGCGAACGTGCGCGGAATTAAACGTGGCGGCACAATGGCCGGGCCAATCACTGTCCGATTCATTAGAATTAGCTCGATTCAATTCCACTACCGTGAAATCATCCGCAATATCCCGTTTTCGCGTCACATCTGGCGAGTCTTTTCAACGACGACAACTGATTTCATAAAAGGCAGAGAGGAGAAATGTTTCAGAAAGTTTCTTACTTGACGAATGCAGAGGAACAAGAAGGATCAAGAAGGATCTTTAATTAGATTTGCAATACTTTGAGCATACTACTACCGAGAAAGCTACGTATTTGTAGTGTTAAACTATGAAGGCGAAGGCGAAATAATTCAGAAATATTTTCTTACTTTTTTCAAAGGCCAATCTACGAGAAATGTTTACAATTACAAGTAACTGAAAGTTAACAGAGTTCATAAATTTACCTTGAAATTGGTTTAATTTCACGCAACCACGCGGACAATGATCTCGTTCTAAGGGGAAATGAGACAACGTGAGAAAAGATATGGGGAATAAATTATTACGTCTAAGAGATAATCCCAGCGGCAGGCCACATTGTCTTGCCTTGTTAACAAGTTTAGCATTACGTTCCAAAAAAAAAAAAAGTTAATTATTGAATACGAGAATGATACTAAAAACGTGTAGTTTTCAAAAAGAAATTTTATAATTGGAATCTAGTTGGTACAAAGAATCAGAATTATTCAAGGTATTAATAGACCTCAACGAGCTAGAAAAATCTCGGAACAAGTAGCACATTTATTTCAAGACTAAAAAAACATGTTTCACGCAACAAAGGATCTGCAGAAATTATATTAACGATTCTTTTGTAAAATGTACTCACAATTGAAGAAATTTATTGTCTACGACAAATACTGGAAGAGAGCATTTTATATAGGTGTTAAGCACAAAGGGCATAAATTTCCACTCGTGCATTCGATTTTTCTCTAATGCAAGATGTATTAATACATCTCGTAATACTTGCCTCGACGTAAGAAAGTTCGCAGGGGCGGTAAGGGGTTAAAGGTAAAAGATTTCTTGCTAAATTTTTCCATAGAAACTGGTAGGTGTTACACAAGGTGGGCCATAAATCTGCGCCCTTGACTGTTCCACCGCTTGGGAACGGTGGTTCGCGATCTCGAGCGGCGACGTATACCTCGATCGCATCTGTGTACATAGTAAAAATCTTATTTCTGAGCGGTCCTCGCAAGCATTCTTCTGATTCCAATGCAACGCTATGGAATCCATTTCACTCCGCGATAAATACGCGACAGACCGAAACAAACATTTTAACCTACATTCATCAAGCATACACGAGAGCGTCACTTCGCTGTTCAAGTCTTTTAATTTATAGAGCTGAATCTCGTGGAAATACTATGGGAAAGTTCTACAGGAGGTACATGAGATGCTATGATCAAATTAAATATATTATATTAAGCCTAGTTATCCTTCATTCCTTCAACTCAGAAGCGCGAAATTAATACTTTTCGCAGTCACGTTTTCAAATAATAATTATACGAGAATTATTGCATTCTACCATTTATAGGAAATTTTATAATCGTCTTATCAATCGTCTTTATCAATCGTCTTTATCGTCTAAGTTTTATCAATCGTCTACCAAGATTCCGTTCCTTTAATTACGTTCTCGAAACTATGAATCTGCCTGAGAAGAAGATCTGCTCGTTACGCGATCCAATAAAATTAATTTCTTTTTTTCCTTTCCTGTATTCTCCCCAAGGGACAAAGGTACAGGTACTAAAGCCAAGGAAGTTGGACGATTCAGCTGCCGGATTCGTGAAGTGGAAATTTATGTCCGTGGCATCATGGGGCGAGGATCCACGTGGCAGCTGGTTCCTAGACATCCTCGACGAGGTGAGAGATTTATACGCGAAGAAACTATTTCCTATTAATCTCATTAATAAAGCTACAATTGGCAACAAACACCAATCTGTATTCGTTTCATCGCGACAGGTTGGACCGGAAGAGAATAACGGAACGATAAAGACGTTCACGTTGATCTTACACGGAACCAGGAGAATGCCAAGGTATCGAAAGAACGGGCCACGAATTTACAACCAGGACTACAATCGAATTCGAAACATCGTGAGTAGAATTGATCTGTTCCTCCCTGTTTGATAAATCGTAAGAGACCTTGCACGTGTACTCGTGCTCCCTAATACCTTCGATATTTCCCGCGAGGGACATACGTACGAATATTTGTCGCAGGACGAGGATCAATCATCTACGTCGTTCAAGAAGAAGCTAGGCTTTGGACAAGCCCAGGAGACAAACGACATCTATGAAAAAGATTGGCTCAAGTTTTTAGGAATATAAATTCTCGAAGGAGAATTATCTTGCAAAGGAAAGTACGAACGATTGATTTGTACGAAAACGATCAAACTCGGACGTTGAAACGTATTTCCATGTATATCCATGTCTATTTTTCTGTGTTGTCGTTCGTATTAAAAATGAACTCTGATGCAGCGGACGAATATAACTGATGACGCAGAGACCATTACGGTTACGGTGCAAAGAGA